TCGAATTCTGTAGCTACTGAGCCATATAGCGGCGATATAGGACACAAAATATAGTCAACGAGTCCATCATCACGTCCACTCCAGCCCAGCTGCTGATTCGAACCGAGTATGTCGTGCGCTGGCTTCAGTTATGAACTGACTTCTTATCTTCGTGCTGCAAGCCTGGTTGTTCCTGTTTCCCTGACATTCTCTTCTTCTGCTTCTATGGAAAATAACTACTCGAGCATTTTCTCGACGAAGGATAGCGGTAGAAAGCCCCAGCGTTGCTTAGGGTCTTCATTTTCGGGGGTGTAGGCACCTAGCTTCTTCATCAAGAGACCCTGTTTTGGCTGAAACTTGATGCGCCAGACTGTCGCTTCCGGTATGCTGGACAGGTCTGCCCCTTCACTCTTCCAAGTTGGGATGGGATCCGTGGTGATAACCTGTCCGAGCACTTGGGCGACCAACGCTTCGAACGTCTGCAAGCATATAGCTGCGTCCCAAGGTGCATTAGGGGTCTTATGAATGCTGAGGCAGAAGAATAACACATATGTAGGCTTCATTATAGTCTCTGTTGATAAATCTCACTTACGTTCTAGGTATCTGGCTTGTCATGAAAGTTTCCAAATTGATGAGTGTACCTTGGGCGTCTCGGAACCCTACTTCGATTTTCTATCAAGACGATAGGATCAGCTCCGTATTCGCACGTGGCTCGTCCGGGAAGAAGCCATGTCTTACTGGAACTCCTAAGAGGTAACTTTGGGCCCAGTGTTTCATTAGCTTTCTACCGATAATGCAAGAGACAGAAGTCGTATCAGTCTATACCGCATGGGTAGGATCCGAGCATTATTATCTACCTTTCAAAATTATTTCTTTGACGGCCAGTGGAAATTGCCATGTTCGTTTTCAGCTCGACGCATTGTTTCAGATCCTTTCGCCATTCCCCTATTTGAAAGAACGACTTAAGTCAGGACTATTCGAGGGGTGCGGTTTGTAGACAAGATATGACGCTTACCCTCAACGCAATCCACTTCTCCGCCCATGTACAAACGCACAACTCCAATCTTGCTTTTGACAACACAGCACCATTGAACATTCGTGTTGACGGCAATTTCGGATGGTCTCTTCCTCTTTTTCGCCTTTTCTAGGGCAGTTTTGCCGGCTTTGGGTTTAACATCCGTTGTAGAGAAAGCTTCGAAAGAGTATCCGAAGTATGACTGCTGCTTGTAAGCCTTTTCCTCCTCGATCCTGAGTAATCGCGGTTTTAAGTCGCCGGTGATTGTTTCGAATTCAGAATATTGAAACTAACCTTTTCAATCTTTCCTCTTTCGTCACATGATCTTCAAGATATACGTTCCCGTTGAATGCGACAGCGTTCATCTCCCAGGTATCACGGTCCGAGAAAGCAGCAGTAAGCAATCTACATGCATATGGAGAAGTGGTATAGTAGCTAAGTATATTGTATAGTCGTCCAGCTTGGGTACGACAGGCGCGTACCTCGTCAACATGCCTCTCCATGTTATTAACGCTCCGCTCTTGAGACTCCCGCCCTCCTTACGGTATTTCAATAGAGACTGACATAATCCATCCAAATGTTCATTGAGCAATGGGTCCCGCTCAATATAACTGCCGTATCCCGCTTTCAAGTCGTCTCCAATGCTGGCGCCCTTATGATAACTGATAGAGGCGTCGGAGTGTTGTATCGAGCGGTCTGGCAAATGCGAGTACGTTGCAATCAAATGCGGACTTTGATACATAGGCAGAGCGGACAGCGATGTTTGCACAAGGGGTAGGGGGATCTGGATGTCGGACATCCTGCAAGATTATGGCGGTACCTTTGGGATGATTCAGGTCCAACGCAGTAGGCAAGCTGGCGAGAGCATCGATGAAGCGCTGTTAGGGATATGCCTGATCTCTAATGTGGAAATGAAGAAACGAAATGTGTGCATCATGTGAAACGAACATTCTGCTTCCCGATCGCTCGACACCGACTGGGGATTCGATAGCTGATTCGATCAAGTCGCCTCTTATATCGACAGTCTGTTTCTTCAGCGCAAACGACGTTCACTGTAGACTCTCTCTCGCTCTCCCAGGCAAACAAAAGGCTCACCAGCACGCTAGTTGACATCATCATCCCCATCATCTGAGCAAAAATGACCGGACCGAGACCGAGATCCGGATTGCAGAAAGAAGTGATCGCATTATACCGCAGGTGAGTGGTGCGTGAGCCGCTAAAACGTTCCAGAGACACACTGAGAGATATCGTTGGCAGAGGAATGCGAAATGTAATGAAAAAGCCCCCAGTCAGTAATGAAGGCTTCGTGCGGGCAATGTTGAATCTAACCTTCTTGGTCATGTCCTCTAGGCGTCTCAACCAAACTTTCTGCTACATCTGCGTCATTCATTCCGTGTGCCGGAACTGAGTGTACGAGATCATAGCGCAATAGAGTATCAGGTATGTATGGTCCGAGTCAACATATCGGCGATGATGATGCAGTAACCATTGACTCCCTTGTGCCCTCCAGATCCGAAAATTCACGAGAACATTAGAGACCTTGGAACAAGGCAATGTTAACAGGATGGGTGTGAGCAAGGATATGATAGACTGGTGGGACAAGCAGGTGCAGGAGACGTTGCGGAAGGGGGCCAAGTCGTAAAGACGGCGTTTCAATGATATAGCAACATGAACATCATTGTGTCGACATCCATTTCCAGTTCCATCTCAATTCATCAATGCATGCGCCCGTCTTCCGGAATGAAGTAGTACAGGGAGACCTCCAGCATATTTTCGTGCAGCCCCAGTTCTCCTAATCTACAAGCTGTTGACAGCTGCCAGAGCCAGAAACCTGCTTTTCCCGCTCTTCATACACCGTCCGACAGGCTCACAACACCAACAACATTAACGGTGTGTTTAGATGTTGGAGGGGAAGAGCATCTGTAATGGTAGATGAGGTCATTTAGTACTCGGAATGCTTCTAAGCGTTGCAAAACTGGACATACGATTCGGCAAGAAGCACCGAAAGAGTGGGCGGGAAGGTTGGTTCGGAACTTGGACTTGACGACACCAGAGTTACCGTGCGACCTTGAGATTCGTCCCCACATGACTCGGACCTTGGAGCCCTTGATTTCTCGCTTGGCCTTGTAGACGTAAGCAACTCGCTACATGAGATAGGAGTTTAGGCAATCAGCAGCAGTCTAATAGAGTTCAGTATAATGGACCCGATTGAAGCATCCTCCTTCCTGGCTGTTCGTCGTCCCGCGTTCTCGTATGCCATCAATCTGTCCTGTTCGCGCCACCCAGTTTCTTCATTGCGCTTCCAATCTCTACATAACGGAACCTCCATCTCCCCTTTTCAATTCCACTGCTCTGAAAGCGAAGACTCACCTTTCCCAGGTAGAACTGAGCGGCCTCCTTGGAGTCAACACCCTCGAGCTGGAGCAAAGAGGTGTTGGGTCGCGAGTTTCGCTTTCCTCGCTTGTGACCGAGCACACGACCTTTGACGTAGAGACTGTTGTGATAACCGCCGCGAAGATATATCCATCGTGATAAGGTGAAGGCGAGGACGATAGCGAGTGCCGAGCAAAGCAAGTAAGACGTTGATAGTGTCGCCGTGCCCATTCATCGTCCACCAAGATCGTTCCATTCCAATCGTACCATTCCATCCAATCCAACACATTCCATCCAGCACAAAGGAAGCAATTCAAAATCCAACCCTCTATCAGTTCCTGTCCGTCAGATCCGCCAGCATTCCGTGTACTAACCGAGACTGCATAAGAAAACAATAAATCGACGGTGAGTACAAATTAATAGTAACACACGTTCAACATGCCAGCACTTACAGGAGCCATCTTTAATCCAACAACCGACAATTAAGATGATCTTGAGGATGTCCGTGGGGTGCGGAACTTCTGATAGACTTCAAGGTGGTTGTTTTGCTACCTTGGACGTTCAGATCATCACTCGCACCGTGTGCTCAGGCTGCTTCGGCCACTCCCTCGGCGGAACCTGGTGTGCCAGCCGGATCGCGAGAGTGAGGAAAAAGGCGCGCTTGTGTTGACCAACTCGCGTCGAATCTGGAGAACTCATGCTGTTTTGCTATCTTTCAACTGCGCTTGTTTCTGCGCCGGAGTCCAAGGCTTCTCACTCGCCACTGCACCTGCCATTGCCGTACGACTCCAGCCTGGCAACCACTTGCCACAGCCCACTGCTGGATTTATATGCCGTAGGTGTGTCAGATACATGTCGACCCTGCTATCTTCTCCTCACACCTCGATGCGGAGACTTGTTCTTCGCTCTCATCTCATGACGCGGTTTCACCGCATTCAAGTCTAGAGGACGAGAAACGGAGCGAGGTTAGAAGGAGCTGGCGAGATTCTCATCAATCCGACCTTTTGTTGGAATATGCGGTCTGACTGAGACGTTTATCAAGTGTTTTGTCGGAGACGCGATGAATGTATCTCCTACACGTTTTCAGTATGCAATTATCTATCTTGTTACGCCCATATATTTGCTTAGCACCTCGAGCGACCTGAAATATTGCCAATGTAGAGCGATTCCAGCTTTTCAGATATTAGGGAGGTGCGAGGAGGTTCTTCAACTGTGTAATCATCCCTATGCAGCCCAGCAACGCTTGAGGAAAGCCCAGCAAGTGGGCCTCTTCAATAAGCAAATGTACATAAACCAAATGCCATCCTATCATGTAGCCTGCCTGGTTCGTTTCAACGAAGGGCTCATGGGTTGGGGCAGATATTGACTCGCGAGCGTATGTTTGCCATAGCTGTTACTCCCCGATATGAGTCGTACCATGAGGCTTCGCATCTTCAGATGGCACCCGAACGCGTGACAGATTTGGATTAGCTATCAAGCCTGAACACTGACCACGGGTGCCACATCGTTTTCCCCATCCTACTCATATCAGTGCCTGTAAATGTAGACTATACCAAGGGCACGAGCGACAGCTCATTTGCAAAATACAGATTTTCCAGAGATATTTTGCGCCTCAAGGAAGTGAACATCAGCATCTTTCGTGGTGTAATGGTAACATTGGCGCTTGTCATTCATCTGGGTTTCAAACTTAGATAGTCCGCGCCCGCCCCGAGTTCGATTCTCGGCGAGAGAGAAATACTTTTTGCCCTTTTTGGCAACCCCAATTAACGCTGGTGCCTCTGCGGCCTTGACTTCCTTTGGTTTTTCCTGGACTTCGTCTTCAAGCCGTCATGATTATCAAGCCAGTGAATAACTTCAACGATCGTCTCCGACTACTTTGTTGCTGCCGTGGCTTGCTGCTCTACAATGCAATATATCAGGCAAGTCGCGAGGCGCTTTCGTGAACAGATTTGACTTGTCGAGCGCATTCAGGAAAGGTGGTGGCGAATTCGGCTGTACGTCATGAGCTTGCTTTCTCAGCGGCTCCTAATTCTAGCACGCTGGTCTGTGTTCAGGCCATATGCATACTCTGAGACCAAATGGATCAAGAAACTCGTACTTGTAAATTCGTTCGACAGCATAGGGTAAAAAAAAAGGATAGCCATCATTTCAAGTGATTCGAGTCTGTGGTGAAAAGCAGGAGGTTAACATCTGTCATGCTCACAGAAAGGAGAAGTCTAGTGACCCGCCTCTTTGCTCTGACAGAATAGAAGCGTTGCTTTCCGTACCATGGTGATTTATGGCAGACTCCTCTCGTTGTACAACCCTCACAATATTACATGCGACTGACAGTGGGGAACGATTATCGCATTGCGAGAATGACAGATTTGGCATATTTCCTGTAAGACGTTCTCCGAAAGGCCTATTAAACCCTTCCCCCGGCTCTCAGTATCACTAAGCAGCTTTTGACCTCTACTCTCGATTTCCGATGCGCCCTGAGCTACATGGGTTCCAAGTATCTCGCCCTAAAGCTCAAGTATGTATTGCCGCCGCGAAACCGTCTGCGCAAAACGGATGTGAGAGCTTTAGCTTCGTCATCTTTTCTCACTGTTCTCACTGTCTTCATATGTAATGCTCCACAGCATGACATCCAAAGCAAACAGATCCGCATTATTCATGTACCTCGCGAGAGAGTGGTAATTCCCCGCACAATTTGCCTTATGCTAGACTGTATATCTGCGCACTGGGACAGCATCCATGGAAGAGAATGTTTGCTCGGTATACAGTACTGCCAACACAGTAAGGAAACGATTGTACAACTGCCGCCTCCGTTCGGCGCGTCATCGACGCCTAATCACCATCCCCAAATTCCTTCAGAATCAAGCATTTAGGTTACATAACATCTCTGCAAGATCAAGGGCCGGCTATGCTCGGAGGAAAGGGCAGCCAGGGCACTGTAACATCATGAAGGTTCCCTTAGTTTTCATGGACTCTCAGCGCAATACCATTCGTTTACTTACCGGAATTTGGGCATGTCAACTTCCGATTTGAAAACGGCAAATACTAACAGAGAGACGCTCGTTAAATAAGATGTTGATCGGGCAATCCGCAATGCTCGCTACTTACTGTGCGTTGGATCGTGATCAGATGTCCCTTCGCATTCAAGGCAAACATCGAAGCTGCCTGCACAGTGGGCGCATCGAAGCCATACGCCCTGTATCGGTCCGACGTGTATATCGCAAATCGTCTGCAATTTTTGCAGAATGAGTATAATTGATATATTCTGCAAAAGTTCCAAGCGCTCACCGATCGATGTTCTACACATCGAAGATACGCTGTGGGATCTCGCGGGTCAAGCGGCATTGTCGACCTGACTTGTCCCACCGGAGTCTTGTACTGCCGAGGCGAAATACAAGAAACATTAGCGAGCCGTTGATGAACGCAAATATCAACACTCACCAAGACTGGTAAAATCGGTAAAGTGGATTGCAAAGGAAAGTGTACAGGCCTGTCGAATTTTACGAATACGTGCATAGGGTCATGCGCCGTATATGAAGTCCGTTCGCAACTAGAACACTATGCGAAGAAATACGATGGATCAGTATAAGAACTCTTTCGCGCGTAAACGTCCTGGTCGTACAAGGTTGTATGGTTCTGGTTCCGATGGACAATTCGCGCATTGGTATCTTTTGCCTATGATAGAGCGGTTGCAAGCGCGACATCTCGCTCCATGATCAAGCGGATTTCGAGGAAACTCGGGCCCTCCGTACGCCGTTTCATTAGTTGGGGAAAGAGGCCGGCCGCTAAAGCCTTCATCCAAGATATCGCTAGCCGCCCGAACTACGGTGGAATCTCGCTGGGCCCACTGTTCACGAGCTCGCCGACTAACCTGCTGCACCTCAGAAGAAGCCAAGGGCAGAGGGATCTGGAGCGTTGTTAGTCAGTAACAGTTCCGCTGTCCTGCACATTCCATATGCTCGTACCTTCATCATTATGTGATCAGACGTGTGGGATCCAGTCCCAGTCTGGGCAGAGGTGACAGGTTCGCATTGCACACAGACGTCCCTGTGGACTTGTGGTTAAATATCAAAAAGGCTATGTCAACAATGAAAAAAAACACTCACCAGTTTGGACAGACCGCGCAGTGAAATCTCGGGCCAACGATGTCTTGCATGCAACTGACGAAGAAAATACGTGAGCGGATAATATACCTTCCTAGACAAATAGGCATTCTTACTTGTGACAGAACACACCCGCATGTTTGACGGCTGTAACCGAAAAGACAGTGAGAACCGGCTATGACCAGCATGAAATGGGGAAACGTACCGTGCATTCCAGGATATGGCACCTGAGGTGACATACGTGGTAACTGATCGCACCTTTGGGATACCAAAGGTTGGCGAGCTACTGGCTTCTGATCTGGCACCGCCAAAAATGGATGCGCAGGGTGGATCTCTTGAGCGTTGTGATGGCCTAAGTGGAAGAAAATGCAGTCAGATATCGGTTGAAGCATTTCACACGCCGTCATCGTACTCACATGTCCGGCAAAGGTCAAAATTTGGGCATGAGATACCTTTTGAAAGTCATTTTGTCAGAATTAGTGCAAGCTAAAGCGGGCCTCGATAGAACATACACTTGAATCTGTTTTGATACAGCTCGATCTGGCAAATGGAGCATCTACACTTGTCGTTATACTCTACGAAGACGAAGCAAAGTGATTAGGAATCTCAAACTGGCGAGTGGACCCTAGAGGTCAATTACCTATTTCCTTCCATCCTTTGGCCCCCCACAAGAGCTCCTTGTAAGTATGATTCAACGTTCCGAATTTTCGGATGTTTTGTACTGCTCCGCGTGTGGCCTGTCTGCTTATCTCGCTTTCACCCATCGCCTTGGCGTGCTGGATTCCTCGAAGTTCTATGCAAGCGGGGCAAAGCTCATACCCATTTCGCGCGTACTTCCGATGTAGAGTGGCTTCATGATTTGGCACGTCTTCCGTTTCGTCCATGCTGTTCCTTCTGTTGTTTTCCAAGTCCCGAAATTGCCGCGACGATTCACCGGTATTCGGTGTGTAAGTGGAAGACCTTCTTGGGGGTGCCCAAGTTGTTTGATCGCCGGAACTTGCTGAACTCGAGGAATCCTCACTGTCATGATCCTCCTTGAAAGAGGTCAAACGAACGGACTGTCTTGCCTCGTCCGATTCCAGCCAGAAATGCCCTTCGCCGCAAACAGTGCATACGTAACGCATGTATTCCAGGCGCACACCACATGCCGAGCAATCTGGCGCCAGGCCAGGTGGCCCGACAGGTTCTTCGAATTCGTCCGGGGCCTCAGGTGGCGTCTGCAGGCTCTCTGTTTCGATGGGTGAAACTTCACGGCTCGCACCGTCTTCATCGTCTACGAAAGGACCGGTGTTGATTGAGGTCATCGATAGTCGGAGGCTCGTCATGTCTTGGCCGTGGCGGGAAGGGTTCTCTGCGGATGAGGAGTCTTGAAGACTCGTCATGGATTGTCTCTCGTTTAACCGAGATCCTGCCCTTGAAACCTGCAAAGGCATATCGGCGGAGGAGTAGGAGTAATACCACTCTAAGAACAGCACATGTTGTCAGAGCATTGCACGAGAAAATCTCCAGTATTTTTCCATAATAACTTACTGCCATTGGTTTCCCGAACCAGTTCCAAGTTTCCCCTACCCTCACTGTAAATGCTTGTACGATCATCATCACTACCATCTTCGCTGGTCAGCGACGATCGCGACGATCCGCCGGAAGAGCTGACAGGACCGAGCTTGCGTCTGACACGTTCCGTTTGTTCTCGTATCCATCGCGCACCTAATTCGCTACTGGTAAGTGACGAGGGATGTGTTCCGTTGTCCAGATGACGTGCGGAAGTCGATGGACGCGCAGACAGCGACTGGTCCAAGGACACTCTGCTGTCTCGAGGGTCATATGAAGATGTCAAAGATGCTTCATCTCGAGGCGGTAAACTACCCTGGTCCTGCGTATCATCCACGCTACGCGCTTCTGGCCGTGAATTTAAAGATAGAGTCCGGATAACATTATCGAAGGGTCCATCCTCTGCACGACTGGAGGTCCTGCGCCGAAGATTACTCTTTTTGGAAAAATTGGCTTGCCGTTCCCTGTCCATGTTCTCCGAACCTCGTCGATACAAGCCGGAACCGGATGAATCGAAGTGACGCAAATCATCTTCCGTTCGGTATGTGCCTGTCCATGAGGCCTTCGAACGAGGAGGATTGCTGCTTCGAAATTCTGGGACCTGTTCAGTAGAGGTTCCAGCAAAACGGTTCGTCTCAAGTTGGTTTGCACTCGAAGATGCGAAGCCCCGCTGCACATCGGATACGTGTCTTCTGGACGGAACACTTGAGTAATCGCTAATGTCGTCGGTATACGCGATCTCTGACGAGGCCTCCCCTTGGCCCCATGCATCTCTACTAAATTCGCTCGAGCTCTCGACGATGGATGCCGTATCAGACAAACTGGGTCCGTCATACTCCACAACCACATGAACACGGAGAACGATCTTGTTCCTGCTGGAAGGTTGAAATATCGGTAACGTTGAATGATCGCGAGCGGGATTATTCCAGTCTGCCGAGTATAGAGTTGGGGCTCCAACAGATGTTCCATAATCTTCGGGGTCAAGCCCTGATGAAAAGTACGATACTGCCTCTGTTAAGTCGGCTTCGGAAACTATATCAAAGTCCTCGCCATCTTCGTCCGTATATGCAATGTGGAAGCT